GGTGAAAAGCTATTATACCAAATTTAGTTGAGGTATCATGCAACTAATTCAAACCTCGCACATGCGACCGAGGAACTATGCACCTAAAAATTAGACCTCAACTTTCAGTGTGAATATTATTAATTCACTTAATAATTTCCTTTCAAATTTTGTCGTGAAATTTCTATCATGCACCAAGTTTTGAAATTTAATGATAGCCATTTATTGGACTATCGCATTTATTGCATGCAATAACATCAACTGCATTTTACACGCGAGGGACAATATTTCGATATAAGACAACTGTATCATTTTATAATTGTTTGTGAATTTTCAAAAATAACCAGCTCAATAATCTTCGTATACTTTTACTGAATGCAAAAAGGTTGGTCACCTCAGTGTGTAAATGCATTTGATAAAACCACCGGGAGATCTCCAACCCAGACTTAAAAATAACCTTTTTGAGATTTGATGCAAAGCTTAACTGGAAGTTCAAGTTTTGGATTTGAGATTGAAAGTTGAGATTGAAAGTAATTATAGTAGCTATAGTATGAACCTGAAAGTTTTTAGTCATCCTCTTCTTCTGTAATTCCCTGTCCATCTTTGTCAGTCGTCGTATGGAAAATGGTCAATTGGCCGTCGCGCTTTCTTCGTTCATCCTGTCCAAATTCGTCGCTGGTCATTCTCAAACGCATCGATCATCATTTCGAGCATGTTCACAATCCAATGAACACATGAAGTTAAGGCGTAGGTTACAACACTTCGTTCTTCAGAGCATCCCTTCAGTCCGTTACAGAAACTTCGCTTGTTTTTAGGCTTTTTAGTTCGTTAATTCTCAGAACTGCCAGTCGTTTTTTAGACACCAGTTCGCATTTTCGAACACTGTGACTGCTCATCCAGCCTGCATAAAACGACTTCAAATCAACTTTAACGGTCACTCTGGAGTAGAAGGAAGATCAATAATCCGGCCAGTTGTGTGCGGTGTTTGCTGGTATTTTAACATATTTCAGAATGTTCAGTTTCAGTTAATAAGAGCAGAGTTTATTTCATTTCATCTTCAAATATCTTGACTTCACTTGTCCACACTTTCCATGCATTATGCATGACCGATGACGTTATTTGCTTTTTAACTTTTATCATGACTGTATACTTCATGTTAAGATTGGATGTAGAATCAATCCCAATTAGCACGCAAATGCATAATTTAGCCTATACTTTTTGTCGAAAAGCTTACTAAAAATTTCCTGATTTGATTCAATTGCATGCGTTCCAATTATTCAGCGTTATGTTTTAGATGCAGATATTTCCACATTCGGAGACGAAACAATGTAACTTTCAGGATTTCTAGTGCAAGCTATGTCATGAATGCTCGCGTGTTTTTTTTTATTTCAAACCGATGCAGACTAAAGCATTATATACTGTAAACCCCTTGCAAAGTTTGTTTGTCATGCTCGTATGTTTAGGCGCTCACGGGAGTGGATATATAGTTTTGCTTATAGCTGATACTTCAACACAGAAATACAAATGAGGGGCCCTTTTCACTCGTATTTCTTCATAGTTTGGAAGCGAACAGTTAAACTGGCTAGAAGCCTATACTGTAGGTTCGAAAATTGAAACACAAGGAACGGTGACAGAATATTATGCAATAGTCTAGGCATCACATTGCATGCTTCATGAATAAGTTTTGATATCATATGCCAAACAAACTAGCGAAAATGTTCCCTGAAGAAACGACTCGTGTGTTTAATTCCGATCCTAAGCAATTTAGCAGGTCGCATTTTCGTCGCGTCGAATGCATTCAAATGAATAGATAATGAGCTGATAAGCCTCTTTAAGCTTCACTATCATGCTATTATCTATTGTTTGAATTGCATTCGACGCGACCAAAATACGACGTTTAAGCCTTAGTGCTTTTCTTTCGAAGATAGCGAACGATTCTTTCTAATAAATGAAAAACGGATAATTGGTAAGTGAATATTCAAGAAATGTACATGCAGAAATTCAAACTTATTAACATGATGGAAGGCCTGTATGTCTAGATCTTTATTGAGTTTATAGACCATTTCGATCACTTTTATACTCGCCTTCCACATAAATTTGTCAAAAACGATAGTTCTGGAACTAAATTACGCCCCTGCAAAGCCCTATACGGTGCTTTTGTCTTTACAATACCAACATTTGTAAACAGTATAAAAGCGTCTGCGAATTATTATAGAAAGATAATATGATCTTGTATCTTGCCGTGTATACGACCTTAAATTTGAGCGAAATATAAAGCTCAACGAGTTACTGTGTATCTAATAACACAATTCAGACCACAAGGTCATTTGGTTGCAAAGTTTTCATGAAATTCAAACGAGAAAGATTTGTAGTGAAAACGTTAAAAGTTTCCAATAAAAAATCTCTATCAAAGCAGTTTACAAGCTTATTACACAGGTACATGCAGAAAGTTGCATTTGAAATGCAATTTCGCACGGACTAACCTGAACGCATAGTCACAACTCCTTCAAAATTTTGGGTTTTTTCCCCCGAATTCTCGCTGTAAAATGATACGAAATGCAAGTATGAGTCACAGAGAACGTTTTTGGCACAAAAAGCGACAAAAATCGGTCCATGTTGTAGCAAGCAGCAATGCTGATTCAAATTCAACACAGAGCGTTGATCCATTGCGGCCGGAGTACATTTAGAAATCGGTTGCTTTTAAATACCTGTAGAGACGTAGCCATAAACAGCTCTAACAAGATTGGCGACCTGTTAGTTGATATTGAAACGTTCGCTTCTTTTGAGCTTGTGGATTTGTTCCCAGAATATTGTCAAACACGTCTTGCTCTTACAATAAAATGTTAAAAATTGTTGTTGTGGTCAAAACACGCCAGACACGCGCTCTAAATTTTCCTCAAACATATTCTGAGGCTCTCATTAGTCGCAGTTGACAGGAAATAAATGCTATTATTTTAAGCTGAAGTAGAACTTTCGTATTTACAACAAATTCAAAAGAAAGAATTCAAGACTCGTTTATTTTAAGCAGTAAACAAGATTATGGATATCAGCCGCTATTTCATATCCGCCCACGCGAGTCGTATTTTATCATCGGACGATGTCGCTGCATAATTATACAGGGTGTCTCTAAAAAAACGCAACTACTTAAATATGCAAGAATATTAATATTGTTCGTGTTTGCACCACAGCTCAGCTATGAAATGAAGGATTAAGAGCCATTTTCAATTCCCAGAGGTGCTTATCTATTGCGCTTTAGAGCTGTATTAATGTCTTGCATATTTAAGTCGTTGCGTTTTTTTTGAGACACCCTGTAGAGCATTGATTTGGTTTTAACGTCTGCTTTCACAATCCAATTTTGTCAGATCCAATTAACTTCTGGCGTATGTTATTGATAAAGCCGTACTGTATTGTCTATAGGCTATACGTTCATAAATTATAGTAGCGCACGAATTCATAGGTCCGTGTTAGAATTTGTCTGGCTTCCTTGTGTGAACACGTAGAACAGGTCAAATTCCATCCAGGAATTCGCGAGCATCGTCATTCCAACTTCTACGACTTCACCACGACTTTTATCAATTCAAAAAATATTTATGAAAAAGGCATTCAGTTCTGTGGTAGACAAGCGATTGTAAAAATTCATGTAAATATTTACTTTAACCCAGGTTTAAGCTAACTGGCTTTTGAAGCCAACAAATGTTTGAGGACACAGAAATATACCGTAAAACTGATGTTGTAACTCGTTATCATGTGAATCCGGCATAGCATGAACGGGGAATGAAATTGCAAAGGTGGATCTAACGAAAGGCAACCCTTCAAGTAAATTATATAATTATCTGGGTTGAATTTTTGAATTTTAGCTTCAACAGTATTTTGCGAAAATATCACAAAAAAAAATATGCGGGCCCTAAAATATACTCCCCAACTCCAACGGCCCTGATTATAGATCGCTACCTCTGCAAAGAGAGATCCGCACTTTGCAGGTCTTCAGCTCAAAGGCCTACACAGACAGGACACCATTTGGCAACGCCGCGCAATTTTTTGAACGTATCTATACAGTAGCTGTAATACACATAAATATATAGTCTTTGCTATATATATATATATATACAGCTAGATACTCCCAATTAACTACCTGAAAATTTCCTGGTTATACAATGTATTGTATTTTAGCAACAAATGTGATATAAAAACTGCCTAACATAGTCTAAACAAACTAAATGTGGCATGGCAACTGCCTAAACTATTATAATCAACTCTCCTGAAGAAGGCCCTCAGGTCGAAACGTCGAGAAGTGTTTTGTTTACTTCAGGCAGTGGCTATACCACATTTGATGCTAAGTTGTTTGATGCTAAGATGCTAAATTCGTTGTTACGCATGGGCTCGCTACTTCATGCAGGCAAAAGTTAAATTCAAACATTCAACCCAATTCAAAGGCCGTTATGTTCGCCATTATTGTATTTACATGCAATATTACTAAAAATCTAAAATGGTGAAAGTGGCGTTGGAATCATTGGAGCACCGGGGGCAATAACCCACACTATAGCCTTTGCTTACGGGGGCGAGCGAGGGCAATTCCATATTATTTCAATTTTCTGCTAAACTGGATTATAAAGCTAATTATTCTGAAAAATGTATAATATGGGTTTAGGTAAAATATGTTCTACACGATTTATAATTTATATCTGTGAAAAACCGAAACCTGTGTAGATGTTAAATCCGTCAAACGGATGATCCGTTTCTAGTATAAATTGGGCCATTGTTGCAAATGGATGAACAACATTATGGAAAAATCCATGATTTTGAATAAATAATAGCTTGTTAAAGTAATGTTATGTTTTCAATTAAGTCGCTTAGCAATAAGAACTCAAACACGCAATTGTTAAGATTTGTGGGTGCTAATAGCTTCCCCGTAGCTTCCCCGCTATAAGAATCGAGGAGTTCTTTTGGCTGAGAAAATCGACCTTTTGTACCGGAAGAATAAACACGCGCATTTGGATATTATTGCATGATAAGGTATTGATTAAGAAAGACGGTTTTTACGTTGATTGTATCCAAAGTCAATAACCGGTACGTATACAAGTAAATTTCAATATTTAGAAATGAAACCTTAGGAGGAGTTTCCTAATAGAAGGATAACCGATTCTGAAATCATCCCTTCTCCAGAAATTTACATGTATCGGCGTTAAAATTATGCGATATTCATTCGATCATGTGAAAAAGATTTGTTGGTTAACTGCTATATTTCTTCAATTACGACTAACCTTTCTCGTCCAGGGCAGAAGGTTGAACGATAGTTTGGGTGGAGGGGGTGTATTTATTGATATATGCATGGCCTGAATCTATTGCTGTATTTTCTGAGCAGAACCATTGAATTGCTAAAATATTTTGTTTGAAGAATGGACGAGTTGCGCTTTAGATTAATTTTTGATCGAATTAATAAGACGAAGTAGTGCAAATGCAAAGCTGTGAAATTTGTTAAAATACGGAAAATAATTATAGCGATGTAAAGTTGGTATATTTTGTATACTTTTGTATTACGTGTGGTAATGTGTAACTAAATTCGTTGAAAACTCTTTCGTAATACAAAAGTATAAAAAAATCGTCAACTTCGCATAGCTTTCCGAAATTTACAACAATATATTCGCAGCTAAACTTGGCAGTTCTACTAATTTTAGTAAGCTGCTCCTTCAGAAAATTTTCTTTTATCACTGAGATAAGAAATCAGTCTGTATAAAGTGCAAATCATCCATTATTAATAAAAAACATGTAAATTTCGCCACTGACACTTCTAGATAACGGAAGGCTTATAATTTTATGTTGAATGACAACGCATAAGATAATTATAATAGTCACTGGGCACGACTAGTGGAAATAGTAGCTATACTGATATGCGCGAAATAAATTTGTTTTAGGACTGAATATGTTTGCAGCAAACGGCTGTTCTAATGAATCGAAAATTCATCGTAAAATATTTATAAACTTGCATGTACATTTGTGTATTTTCTGTTTGATCGTGTGCGCAGAGCGTCAAAACAAGAAACAATACGAAAAGAAGTTCAAATTGATTATAATGTCGCTATAATTATTTATTACATCACAATTTCTACATTATCTTCAGTCTTATAATTATTTTTCTTATTGATATTATTTTTATTTTAAAGGAAATTAACTAAAACAGCAATGAGGCTCATTGGTCCTACATTAAGATTCGTTACTGCTCTAATACGACTCGTAATTGCTTTGGAGAACACGATCGCCAGTGTAAACTTTTGTTACGATTCAAGTTTTGAAGGTAAGAGTGACCAATGCATTGCCAAAATTTTCTGATTATAAAGCAACCGCCTTTAAAGAAAAATTCGAACCTGTTGATTTTTTGTCATCACACTGGCATATCATAATTATTCACCTCATTATCATTCATTATTCTGGCCAGTTATGATGACATGATAAAGGCGATTTAGCTCTCTAAATAATAGACACGCTGAACTGGTCAAACTACATCATAATGACTGTTGTGAGGCTGATCAGGACAACTCTATAATCCTTATTACCGTGACTTTTCGTTATCGTCTCCAACATTTTGTGATATCGATAGCGAAGAATTTATTTTAGAAACAAAGAATAGCTAAGTATTAAACTCCTCGAATATATTTTTCTACAAACGCCAGGTTTCAGGCTAAATACAGCAATTCACTCAACCGCATTAGTTTATGATTGGGTTGACTGTGCTGGGGAGTGCCTCAAAGAACCGTGTTGCAGATCTGTCAACTTTAAGAAGGAATTCATCCCAGAAAATCCAGGAAATTACAATTGCGAAATGTTGCATAATGTCGTTACAGATGCATCAAAGCATTTATTGGAACCAAATTCATCCTACGATTACATATTTTTTCATAACCCAAAAAAGGTGAAATATTCTTCAACATTAGTTATCGTTGACTGAAACAATAACTCGAGCGCCACCTTTGAAGCCGAATTCAAGGCGGCCATTGAATGTCCGGAGCCGAAAATACACCGTATTAAAAGCACCGTTTTCGGCAGGGTAAAAACTAGTTTAATATCGAACATTTATCTCGTAAAAATTGAATTGTATTTATTTTTAATTTGTTTATAATTTCAGAAATACAATTTAAGTTGCCTAGTGACAGAAGGTAAGTACTGGTGAAATAAATCATAAAAATAAATTTGGTGAAAATAAGGAGAAAAAGAAATCACGAGTTTTTTGCAGAATTTGTAGTCAGGGAATTTTAAATACATCAAATCATGTGTACTAGTCTTCTGGGATCAAATTTTCCTGTCGTGTGAGTTAAATTATATCGTATGTTGTATTTAAACCACATCCAGTTATGAAATCGTGTGTACGCGAGAACGTTAAATTATCGCACTGTTTCATTGGAGGCTAGGGTAGGGATTAAGGCGAAATGAGTTTCGTGAAAATACGAGATATTTTTCGAGAAAAAAGCCAAGAAATTTTATAAACTAATGACTTGAAATATTAATGAAACTAATGTAAATATTTCGCTGGGCACAGCGAAAAGGAGAAAATGAGATTTACTAAGTGATGTTGAAACTCATCTGCGGTGGTGCACGAACCTGATGCCCTTGTACGTTCGCGATCGGCTCAGTTTGTAGTGTTGAGATTTGTTGGGAACAAAATATACACCTAAGGATTTTATGGCGTAAATTTTACCTACTGAGCCGTACGAGCCTATAGGATCGTAGTAGAGAAATGAAAGTCCACCCGACGAGTTGTGTAGAAGAATTTTAAATAAAACCTTACGAAAATTGCAGTTTGGACTGCAATATTATATACATAGGAAAGCTTTAGCAGCGACTACGAGTACGAGATTCATCATTCTCAAGCGTTGTATGCTTACGCCTCAGCCAAAACTCGTAGTCGTTGGACCGGTATTCGTTCCAAAAAACTCCTACTCGACAGCTCGGCGCCTACGAGTTTTGGCTGATGGCGTATGCAAACAACGCGCGAGACTCTCGTACTCGTAGTCGATGTTAAAACTTCCTACTAGGGCATGTTTATATAGCAGCGACACAGAATAGAAGAATATCAGAAGGTATAATACAGGTATGAGCGCGAGGTCAAAAATTTAAAATCACTAACGAATGCAACGATTTATTGATTGACACAGCGTGCAAGATGGCTCTCGGGATGGAAAATGGCAATATTAATGATAGTCAAATCACGGCCTCAAGCGAACTTGATACAAAACATCGGGCGGCTAATGCAAGATTGAATTTTACACCACGAGATGGAAGAAATGGGGCTTGGTCATCCGGGAAAAAAGATCTTAATCAGTGGCTTCAGGTTGATTTCCAAAGATCTACTCTGGTCACAGGAATCAGTACCCAAGGACGCGAAAATAAAGACCAGTTTGTTAAAAATTACACCGTTTCTTTCAGCCAAGATGGGAATAATTTTCAGGATTACACACAAAAAGGAGCAGTCAAGGTATTCTCCAATACTTATCCTTTGCAAATAATTTCTTTAGATATTGACATAAATTTTCGGGATGCGAAAATTTAACGAGAAATGTTGCATAGAGTTGTGGCGAATAAGTAGAGAATGCGTTCTTCAACACAAGAAAGAAATTACAATTCCCAGATGTATAAAAAAATTCAAAGGTAGTGATGTAGTGAAAGCTATCGGGGAGTATATAGCTGCTTAATTATCCATTAATTTTCATGATTGCATGAATATAACCAAGGCGAAAGCTTCACAAACAAGCTCTATATAAGGCCTGAAGCCACGTTTAAACTACAATCAATCTATTGGCATGGCAAGGATAAAATTAGTATCCTAACCAGTTTTATTAGTGTCCAGGCCAATAATACAAGGCCGAGCACGCATAAAGTTAATACGGATACCCATTTCAGCCGTGCCGTGCCAACAAAATGATTGTAGTGTGAATGGGCTTTAAATGAAAGTTTAAAGCTTTTTAAGCCCCGTTTACACTACAGTCCATTTATTTGCACGGCACGGCTAAAATAGTTACGCGTGCAAATTTCATCAGCGCTCGATTTTAGTATTGGTAGCCTGAACACTAATAAAACTGGGCACGGGCTCCAATTTTAGCTGTGTCGTGCCAATAAATTGGCTGTACTGTGAACGGGTCTATAATTTTAATAATCAATGTTATGTGAACATGGGTGTTTGGGTTTGCCCTTTTAAAATAAAGTGAGAAAATCCTGTAAGAAATAATTTATTTCCATGCATCAATTAGTTGCGACTGCACTGTCTATTAATGTTATAAAAACATCAGGGTTTTTTATCCAAAGATTGGTAAAATTTCCTGAGAAATGCAATAACTATGTTAGAGTAACCCCTCCCCAAAGAAATAACGTCTAATATCCGCAGGATGGGTAATTTTGGCTCGTGATGGTGTGAGCAACTTCTGGCGCCGCAGCAATTTGCAAATGCTCAATCTCTTCCCACGGCCAAATCTCTCGGACAATGCACACCTTCCGCCAGAAATCCTGGTTTCCTTTGTATTGTGTTATAACATTCCAGCCGCGTGAACGACCAATCAGAATCATTTTTGATTATCCCAAAGCCTTTGTTCCTCGCCAGAGGAAATCGCTGTTTCAGGGAATGAGATTGGACAAATGCCCAATTATTCACATTTTCCATTTTGATAATATATTGGGATGTAAAGATAGATATTACAGCAGTCTCAAGTATTTTTTTATGTCTTCAGGTATTTAAAGGCAACATTGACAAGAATTCCATCGTCCATCACCACCTTATGCCACCTATTTCTGCTCGGTTCATTCGCGTTCATCCAATGGCTTTCTATAAATATATTTCGATGAGAGTAGAATTTTATGGATGTCCTGCTACATAAAAATTGCAAATCCCTTTGCACCGTTTTCATAATATTATAAACGACATTTTTTCAGTACACATGTCTGCAGTTGTTGAGGCAATGTTCCACCAAGTTGTTTGGGCAATGTTCGTTTAAGGGCACAAGTGAGAAGGGCAAAACGTCATCCCTATTACGATACCTGCTAACAATCGAATTCTTCCGAAAGGCATTTTTAGTTTAGCAAAATTAATATAATATTACATCACATGGACATTAGTGATTTCAATGAACAATGGTAAATAAGTAAGGTAAATAAGTAAGATATAAATAAGTAAGATAAATAAATAAGGTAAATAGGTTTAAGATAAACAACTAAGATAATAAGTAAGATAAATAAGTAAGATAAATAAGTAAAATAAATAAGTAAGATAAATAAGTAGGATAAATAAGTAAAATAAATAAGTAAGATAAATAAGTAAGGTAAATAAGTAAGGTAAATAAATAAGGTAAAAAGGTAAGGTAAATAAGTAATGTAAGTTAATAAAAAGTGTATTGTAGAGATATAAATCAAGTGATTTAAAACGGTTTTCGTCCTTCTCGAATTTCTTAATTTTGAAGACTCTCATACTGGACCTGTTGGGAGT